GACGGAAGCTGCAAGATCAGTTATTTCACATGAATGCTTCAACCATGGTCATGTTCTGCTGCGAAATCTGCTGTGACATCTTCTGAAATGGGCCTCCAGATCATAAAGCTGATTCAACTCCAAATCATGGCTGATCGAAGTGAAACTGAGACTGCTGTGTTTTTTTACACACATTAGCTAGGAGTAACAAGGAATGTCCCCTGTTCTACGTGGCTGTTTTTTTTTTTAACTTTGTACTGATTTTACTCCAGAGAGGAGCTGGCTGCTCTCGGATCAGTTCCGGGACACTGGAGTATTTCCACATCAGTGAGCAGTGCTCTGTTATGCCACCTCATTAAACAAAAGCAAGTACCAGCCATTGTAATTAGTTGTGTAAGATCAGGGCATTAGGGTTTTTTGCTGATGCACAAATTTTGCTCCATCGCATGTTGACTGTTCATAACAATTATGAATGTTTGGGCGCCTGCCCGATCCAGGCTGGATGTGCAAACCCTGTCCCTGAGCCTCAGCCATGCGTTCAGAACCAGGGCTAAGGAAATATACATGATGCTGTTCAGCATTTCAGTTTTCCAGGCATCAAATCCAATCAGTCCAACAAACAAGGAAAAGCAGCCAAGTACAATTCAATCTCAATCGCCCAATCTCTTGATTTTGAAAAAAATAAATTAGGCTGTCGTGTTTTCCAAGTGCTTCATTAGCTGAAGTAGGTCTTTGGGCTGTGATAAGGTTTCAGGAGTGTGCTGTGTGCTGTGGAGAGAAGATATATTTAAAATGTTGACTTCAGTGGCTTGATCTGTCCCAGTGTATCACAAAGGTCCATCAAACACACAGTAGCCCCCCTTTCATAGAAAGCTGAGATAAACTCTGGAGTGAATGATGAAACAATTTTACTCCAGAGTCTGGCTGCAACTCTCAGCCTGCTGGCCTATAATTAGAAAGGTTATCAAGACATATTTTAGGCATCTTTGCATAGTGCTCAGTGTGCAGCTAAACACTGCCCCCTTGTGGAATACATGACAGTTGATTGTTTGCCTACTGTACCCTCAGACAATGGCCTTTTAGTCTTGGTTATGATGAAGGAAAAAGTCCTCTTCTTGTTACCCATTTTCCTTTATCATGATTATATTCCATTAGCTTGAAAAGCAATTATTTTCACAAAACCACTAACTACCATGTACAAAATATGATTTATTTTTATGTATTTGCATATACCCGATGAGGGGTTTGATGTACAGAGCAGAATACCCAGTAATTCAAGAACTTTCATTAGGAACATCTTGGTTGCTCAGACATAAAATGTAAAGTGATGTGCAGCAGCCCAATAAGTGTCTACTGTCAATGTCTGATCTTTAGTGGCTAAATTAAATGTTCGAGATGACTTCTTTTCTTCTTTTTTTTATCTCAGGCTGTTTCTTCTGTTTAACAGTTCATAGGAACTTTAAATACGTCCAGGTTCTCCACTGCACAATGTGCTGTATACCAATTGGCTTTCCTAGTGCTTAGGACTTTAATCTAACAAAAGCTTTCTATTAATCTCTTTGAAGTAGGCACTAAATTATCTCTAGTACCCTGCCAATATTTTTGTAAAGGTCTTTATTGCTGAAGCCTGTGAGATGAGGAGTCTGCTTAACATTTCAGGGATCACACAGTTTTCCTGCATCAGTGCTCTGATTCTGTGATTCACCACATTGCTCAATTATGATATTTGTGTTCAAAACGGCGTGACATTAAACTTGTGGTTCAATTTATTGTGTGATAGATGACAGGAAAGGCATGTTCATGGTCCTGAGATGTGTTACACAGAGGGGTATTATTAAAAAAAATGAAAAGACAAAACAACTTGCAGTGCTTTTTTATTCTTTAGTTCTACTGAAGAATACATAAGTAACAATTCTCATACAGCAGTAACATTTCTCATAAAGGTGTTAGCTGTTGTGGGAACAAGAAAAATGATGTACTTCTAAACCTTACCTGCTAAAATTTGGGTACATGAAATTATGGATTTACTGACAATAGAGGTCATGTAGAAGTGTAAAAATAACATTGAGCAGATTTTGTCATAGTAATGACATATTTTAAGCAAGCGATCTACAACTCTGGTTCTGAAGTGGTGTTGTTGTGCAGGTTTTAACTATAAACAGTCAATAGCAGAGATCTGGAAAATTTGTTAACTCCTATTCCTGCTTGAGTAATGCTGATCCAGTTCAGTCATCTGGACCTCAGCTGGAACAAAAATCAAAAGACACTATTTCCAAGCTGGAGGTTCAGGACTGCAGACTGGTTAAGGCGCTAAAGATTTTGTCCCATTAGTTTAGCACAAAATCAGCTTGTAATATGTAATATTGCTTTATAGTCTTTGTTTTCCAAAATCTGACATTTCTTTACAAAAACAATGGCAAAGAGAAAATAAAGGCCCGAGAAGGCATTGTTGATTCAGATTTACTTCCAGAGACTCTAGAATTTCTGAGGATCTTAAATCAGGAATATGGCTGCATTAGTGATTTTTCTTTCAGAAGCTAGAGCTCTGTTTAGTAGTATTAACAGTTCTTGGCACTAAGGAGACAGCTGGGCCTGACCTTGATAAAGATTAACAGTAGTACATTTTCAAATGGAATGCAAAGACTTGCTAGTCTAGAGATAGTGTTTAACTGTAGGTATTTACCTCAAGAATTTGCATGGAACAAGCACGGCTTTATTCATTTATTTTGCTTGATAATTCACCTAGAAGGCATGGTCTCGCTCAAGTCTCAGTCTTCAAGCGTGTGACTCCCTTTTGGGGGGAGAATCATCTAGGAGCCCGCAGTGCTGTGACCTGCAGCAGTGCTTGAGGATGGCCAGCCCAAATCTCTCCTTCACACACTCCCCAGACTGCAGGTCTGCTAATTGCATTCATTAGATAGCAGTAGTCACCAATCAGTAATAAAACAAATACAGAACAATATCAGCATGATGCAGCACCGCTGTGCATGCAAATAAATATTCAGAATAAACCTTAATGTGATTCATTATGTGCAGCACCATACTGGGTCGAAAACACTCGTCTTTCAGCTTTGTTTATTACCCTTGGTTTTTAAGGTTTATGTGTGTGTGCCTCATTGGCTCTGTGCAAAATTAAAAGTAATAAAACACTTTTCAGTGTTATAGTTATTCCTCTATTCCAGCATCCCAACAGGTCTACTAGAGACGTGTCAGTTTCTTCAGCTATCCTCGATATGTTCTGACCTCAGTCAGCCTGTATACGTTTCATCTGGAACAATGCTGAGCCCAATAAAGTAAATATATTGCAGGTTATCCGATTAACAATATTTACAAGCAAGGAATTTGTAAAGACCTTGCAAGGAATAATCAATCTGCTGTAAGAAAAAAACTGAGGAGTAGCTTCTTTAACTCGCAGCAGGCACTTGGCTTCTCCATATCAATTTCTGTTGTAGACAGATCTGAGTATCTCCATTAATTACTAAAAGAAACTGAATCTGATAACAAGCCAGAACCTGCAACCTGTATCATTACTTTGAAGTACAATACAGGTGTTCAATATTCATTTTTGTTTAGTTATTCAGAAGAGCACACTTAAAGGAAATTGATCATGTGAATATGCTGGTTTTTTGGGGATGAGCACAAAGCTGGAGAAGATCTTTTGCTGTTGCTTTTTTGTGAAGGAACTGGCCAACAGACTCCTTACAGCTAAAGTACATTTGTTCTGACTCTGCTATCATTCCAGTGCCTCACCTGTGTTGCACTTAGTGGAACCCTACAGCTGTTATGTGCTTATAGTATATTAGAGCTGCCAGATCATAGATTTGTGATTTCCTGTGAACTTTAAAATAGTTAAGAGTTAATTCTTAGTGCACTATTATACTAAGCAAAAGTAAAAAAAACAACAACAAACAACAGTGTGTTAGCTCTTCAGATTGTGCTATAGAGAATTGTCCTTCTCAGGGAGTTATGTGAATAGCTACCCTAAAAGAGATCTCATTGTAGGTTACTCAGGGAAGGTTATAACGGCACCTGGTTGAAAAAAATAGGGACAGTATGTCTTGACTCCACTACAGAAGTGACTCTTCTAAATAAACAGGACAAAATGTTTTGCTCCAGTGCTCTGCATTTATTCTCCAAATACAACCTAATTAAAAACTACCCTTAAGTGAGAAAAAAAAAAACATTCAGTTTATTTTTGTTTTTCACACCTGCTGTATATTGTCTCCAGTCTGACTGGCATCTTCATACTTCGATAATTATTTTCAACAAATTGAGTACAAACTCTGCTCTGGGGAAAAGAACAGAATGCAAGCAAATAAGTCATAAGTATGGGCCTGCTGTAGTCATTAAAAAGCTGTTTTGTCTTTACTTTGTTTTGCTTGTTGTCACAAAGTGGCTTTGCAACTACCAGTGCAGATGAAATGTATGTTTCTATACTGTCTCTTGTATGTCTGTAGTGTATCAAGACCTTTGACTTCTTTCCTTTGCGATGGGCTCTTCAGGCCTGGATCACTAATCTATCGAAATGTTTTGTTTTCATTGCTACAGTTGGATTCATTTAAATTCAACAGACCTGATTAGGAAAGTTCAGGAATTAATTAAAATGCCATTGGTCTGCAAAATAGCTAATTGTGAAAGTTTGAAGAAAAAAGTTCATGCTCAAGCCATTTTGTTTTGTCAAAGAAGAAGATTAATTTCTTCCAGGTGACATGGTGAGTTGGGCAGTTATTAACCAATTTATATTAATTTGATTACATTCAAGCAAAGTAATAATGTAGGTCACAGAGCCCAGATGCATCTGTTTTTTCTAAAACATTAACAACAGACCATCAACATCTTTTATACAGTAACCTACTGAGTGGAATGGAACAGATATTGCATTCATCATGTCAAAAAGCCTGCATAGAAGCAAAATCCCACTACCTCCTCCAATAAACCAGTGAACATCCCTGCATTCTCGCAAAAAGACAGCATTGAATTTTAATTCTCATTGTATTTCAGAAGAGCTGACCATCATTCCCATTCAGTGTGGCCATCTGTCCATATATCTTCAGGCCTAGCTGGTAATGTCCTGTAGATTGACTGCTTAAGGAGCCAGATGGAATTTTAAGTAGTTAATTTTTACAATAAAGAGCTCAGTTGAACACATGATTTTAAAAGCTCATATTTTATGGTTCCGCAAAGGCAACTTTTGTTAATGATACATTTGCAGGTTATGTGCAGCAATCATAATTAGAATAATAAATCAAATTAGCAAATTCATCTTCACATTAAAAAAGGTTCAGTCAGCGTTGGACTTCCATAAATGAAGTGACAATTTTTTTTTTAGCAGCCAACTGAGTATTCAGTGTTATTAAATCACAATCATAGACTTTCATGTCCTGCATGTTTTTCTACATGTTAATCATTAGAGCAGAAAGATAAGTGTGCTCTTTTTTTCTTCCGCAAAAGGCACTTCTTATGCGAGTTCAGCGAGTTATGGTATATAACAAAAGGTGTGTAGGGGAGGTTTGGTTTCTGCATTTTTTTCCCTTCTTAGATATTTAAGGAAGGGATTAAAATACTCATTCCTTTAACACCCTGTGTATTTGTGAGCATACAGTATGAAAAAACATCTGAAAGGGATGAAAGGGTCTTTCCTCTTCTCTACAAACTTCTTGTATGCTTGTCTGTCAACAGGAGGATATGAACCTGAATGAAGAGCGCAAGGCACCCCTTCGTGGGAAAGATCTGAGCACCAAACGAGAAATGGTTGTGCAGTACATCTCTGCAACTGCCAAATCTGTAAGTGCTGTGAGCGTCTGTCATTGTGAGTCGGAGTGTATGGCGGGGGGGGGGGAGTGGGGTTGAGAGATGAAGTATATGACACTTTCAAGACACTATGGAATAATAAGCTTAACCTGATCTGCTTTCTGCTTCTGCTAAGCCAAAATCTTTGATTGCTGCCTCGTTTCTCCCTTTCTTGGTGCTTATAAAACTGCTTTTGTTGTATTGCACTTTCAAATGCTTTGTACTGAGGATCAGCTGTTCATTAGAATTTAGTACGCATCACCCAACTGCTCAGTAATCTGAAATATGACACTTTCATTACTGTAAACCAATAAGACCTCTAAATCCAGCAAGCACGGGGTGTGATTTTTTAAGGGTGAGATTTTTATGTTTCTACTATTGAGTCAGGCCAGAGAGATTTTAGCTCTAAAGGACATATTTGGATACAAATTCGATGGATGTGATTTTTCTAAATTCTCCAACATGGTGTTCTGTTAGGATAGTCATTGTTAGATTCCAGTCTTAGTAGTTTCCTTGTGATGATTTTAAGAATGCTCAATGAGTTGATACAGTAATAAAAAAGACTTGGAACTGGCAAACAGAATATCTTAAAAAAGGATTCGTAATGAGCAAAGCAAGTTATTTGAAGAAATGTTTTTCAGAATATTTTTTCCTCTTCTTCATGCTTTAAATTACACTAAAAGCAATCCCCATTTAGATGTCAAACAGTTTGACTGCTTGCATACTGAGGGAGCGTAGGGAAACTGCAAGCCCTATTTCTGCTTAATTTACTTTCACTATGTGAGGGCAGAAACATGTTTTTATGTGATAAGTGAAATTTGCCGTGAGCAGAACAGTGTTTGGTTCCAATAGAATTAGGTGCTGCAAATACTCTGTGTTCTCACTTTGAAAAGTCTCCTCAGCAAATCCTGCACTCAGTTTAGCTTTCATGTGCTGGGGTCTCTGAAAGAAACATAACCTTTTGTGTAGGGTTGTGTATTATGAATCTTTCTGAGTCCTCTGGGAGAGAGCAAAGAGGTAAATAAGTTACAGGGGTCTGTGGAAGTGGGAATCAGAACTGGTTTCTTATTGAAGACTACTGGGGAATTAGCACATTTTATCCAGCATGTGTTTCCTGTCTCAGTCCATTACGGCCTGAAACAGACAGGTGCTCTGCACCTGTTAATCTGTGTATCTGTCCACCCATCTGCCAACTGCAGAGAAATCTCTTCCATCCAGTTCAAAGACAGAATCTTTAACTCCAACCTCGCCTCTTTCCTGTGCACACCTGGACCGCCCTGTTTTCAGAGTGGTGTTTGTGGGCACCCCTCCTTCTGAACCACAGTTTATAAGCCGATACCCTAATATGGTGACCAGGAACACTGTGCTGTAGGAGTTGCCTTCCTTCTGATGAGACATTAAAACTGAAGTCCTGACTACTTGGTCATCCCATGGCCATGTTAATAAGAATATGAATTTCAGTTTGACTCGGCATCAGTTATCCTCCTTACAATCGCATCCTAAATTTACTTGAATTCATTTCCACCTAATCTCTACCTGTAGTGATGCTGGTGGCACACCGTAGCTGGTGTTGCACTCCAGTGGTGATTAAATCAATTTCTAAAGCGCTTTGGGATAGCAGCCTACTACATCATGTGTGCTGTGGTGGGTACCAGTTGCATAGCAAGATATTGCTGCTTGAAAAAACATTAAGTGCACTGTTAACATCTTGCTTTATGATCTGGCAATCAATGTAGGCCAGAACTAGAAACAATAAAAACAGCTTTGTTTTCTTAAAGAAATCAGAGGAAAAGGCCATGGAGTTCATTTTCTGCCAAAATATTGATTTTTTCCCATTGCTATGACGGCGACAAACTGCTTACCTTCCTTAAAATGTAATTCTTTATTGAAATTTCTTTGAAATTATTAGTATTGAATATTTTTTGTGCACATTATTGCTGCTACTAGTGTACCCTCTTCAAAAACATGTGCTGACAAAAATGTGCTCTCCTCATACCGCTTTAGGCGGAACTTGGCGAGTCTGTCCATCTGGAGTGTCTCGGTTATTTACACGAGCATGTTCGTTTAACCCCACATCCACTGTATGTTTGCTGAAAAGTCATGAAAAGAAATCGAGAGAGTGCCTCATCTTCTTCAGTAAGTAGCTGCTTAGAGTTGTCTTACATTGTTTTTGTTAGGAGCCTCAGCAGGGTTTCACAGAGGTTATCTACATCAATCAGTCTCCCTTCTTAGAGCTACAGAGGGAATGAAGAAAATACAGAGGGTTAAACAGATCTGCAAAATGGGGAATCCTGTATCTCGGCTGATTCCCAGCTAATGGCAATCCACAGTAGACTGCAGTTTAGGATGGGGATTCCCACTGCAGGTATCACTGTTCGAGACAGCCTTGTTGGTACTGTATGTCGTTCTGCTCCTGCAGCAGGAGCTGGGTGCCCCGGTGTCCTGTTGCCTCTCCTTTGATACAAGGGATTGGGGAGGACACAGAAGCAGAGCCACATCTGTTGTTGTGAAGCCAGTGTGGGCATGCTGAGAGCAGGAGGACCTATTCCCTCAGTTGAAGACCGAAGATGTGCTGGTGTTTTTTTTTTAATCTTCTAGTTCTTTTTTTATTACCTGTTGCAAAGGGCAGGTACATTTTTTTATTTGTTTAAATATTTCCCTCTAAGCAACAGAGATAGCAAGCTGTTTTATTAATTTGTTTGTTCTTTCCTAGCACATTTTCCCTCTGAAGAATTTTCTCAGGAACAGCCTCTATATTTTATCACAGACAGGGCTCAAAACACCACCTATTACTTCCCTGCGTCTCTCCATGGGAGGCCTTTGAATTACTTAAACTGAGAATGTCTTTTCAAAGGAGAAATCTTTTGCAATTACCCTGTTCATTTGGATATGAGCTGTGTACGATGAAACACGGTTTTGCTTTGCTACACCCTGGATGTCCTTGCCTGTCACGAGTGCATGGCTTGCCTTATTCTCTGTAAATGCATGTGAAAGTGCTATGTAAAGGTGTCATAGCATGCTTCTAACAGTGACTTAATCTGTTAAATGTTTTCCCAAAAACAAAAGATTAACTTTGTGTAGTTATTGTTAAAAATGTTTATTATTTCTTTGGATAGTGAAGAATTTCATAGTAGGGTCTTTTGGGGGCAAGGTGTAATACTTTTTGTTTGAGAAAAAATGTGATTGTAATTGAATTAATTTTTTGTGTGTGATAAGGCTGTAACATTGCAGAGATGGATTTGTCATTTTTTCTTTCCAATTATGATTAAACTGTAAACGTCATGCAGTCAAATTGTTTGCACAGTAGAATATCTCTGAAATTCTGAGCTTTTATTTGACAGTACTAGTACGGTATATCTGGTGATATTTTGTTTTGGAATGATATTAGGGCATTACATTTTTATGGCTTGGCTTATGACATTAAAATATACTTCTTAACAATTTGTTTTAAAATTAGATTTTTGCAGATGATTAAAAACTATTTTATTTTAATTTTGTCTGAATAGTCTATTCCCCTTCAGACCCTGCTATTCTAAGAGTGACTTTTAGAATGAGTGCAAGATGGTGTCTGCTGTTATGATATAGCACTCTACAGAGAGAAATTAGTAATGACTAGGCATTTATTTAATCCTCTCCTTTCGTCCCCCGACTTTGTGTTTTAAAGTAATTTTCTTAAAATGCCACCTCGCAACTCGTTATTTTCTGAATCAGAAGAGCTGAGGTTCATGCTGTGATGTGACCCAATTTTCTGTACGCGTCAGTGCGTGAACTCTGGAAAAGTTTTGCTTTAAAAATAACACTAAACCAGAAAACTGTGTAGAGAAGTAAAAATAAGTGTAAAAGCCATTTCTTCTCTGCAATAGCTATTTAAAAGTATACAATAGGCTGGCGGTTGCCAGTTGCTCCAGTCCCTCCAACTCTGAAAAGGTGGGGCTCAGCATTTCTGGGTCATATCCAGAGGAGGTTCACAGAGTGTCCTGGTAGCACAATGGTGTTGTCAATATGAGCGCTATTTAGGAGATCCAGGTTCAGTTCCTGCTTAGGGCAGATGTTTTGGGGTGGAGTGATGGCTCTGTGGCTAAGGATCTGCGCCTGTGGCTGGAAGGTTGCTGGTTCACATCCCATGGCCGGCAGAGGAATCCTACTCTGTTGGGCCCCTGAGCAAGGCCCTTAATCCCACCTGCACCAGGCTGACCCTGCGCTCTGACCCCAAGCTTCTCTCCCTGTCTGTGTGTCTCATGGAAAGCAAGCTGGGGTATGTGAAAAGACAAATTTCTAATCCAAGAAATTATATAGGGCCAATTAAGTGATCTGATCTGATCTTAATTACTTCCTATTCTGCTACAGGAGCCAGAATGGGCCACTGTGGCTCTGGTACAGACTTCACCTGTTTTTATTTGAGAAGCCGAGATGGAATCCTGACAGGAAACGATAAGAAATGGCAGAGTGAGCAGAGACCATTTTTAACTGTTTTGGTTGTTAGGTTGTGAATTGATCTCAGGATCTCATCCCAATGTTTCCTGAAAGATGCGCAGTTGTCGGCTTCAACAGCAGCGACTAAAAGCTGGCTTTAACAAGCTCGCATAATCTTCCTTTTTCACAAGAAGCTGACCCTGAAACGTTTTCTAAAATTTCCCGTCCCTTTACTTGTGGTCAGCCTTCGGATGAAGCTGTAGCTAGCGTATGTGTTGCGGAATTCCTCTTTCCGAGCGCCTCGTGTGGCAGTGCTCATAGTTTCATCTGCGTCTGTCCTTGTCCCACTGTGGTGCTGACATAAACTTCGACAGTGGAGTGGACAGAATAGCTGTCAGCTCCTGGTTTTTAAATACAAACCCATTCAGGACTCACTGATAATTCTATTGATAACATTCGGGTAACGAGGTTAAAAAAATCATGCTGACTTGAGGACTGTGATATTTGTTTAAATCTGACATGTGAAATAAACTGCAAATGACAGCTGATTGATTTAGGCATTTTGTAGCCTGTTGGCTTACAGAGGAAAACAGGAGGATTGTTTGCGAGTTAATACTGTACATATCGATCTCCATAAAATACAATCAGATTGCCGAAAGACGCACTTCATGAATGCAAATAGCACTCTCGAGCAGCTGACATAATTTTATAATGGTAAGTTTCGAACAAGATAGCGGTTCCAGCAAAAAGCTTTTATAACAGCAGAAGTTTAAGAAAATAGATTTGTTCAAGCCAAGACACCTGGTGTGTACATCTCTGTAACAATTTATTACTTTATATGAGGTGATATTAAATACAGGATTTCATCTTTTGTTTATGGAAAGACACCACTTGTCTGTCCTGTGTTGTCATCTACCTTCTCTTCTCTTCCAGTTGAAGTCTCTTTCAATTAATGTGTCCTGACTTTGAATGGCCACTGCGAGACATAAAAAAATCAGTGAAGCTGTACAAATTGAGATATCCAAGGCTTTAATTTGCATGGTGTGAAACTGGATCATTAAAAACAATCACTGATAAACTGGCACTTGAAAGCAAATATCAGAATTGCAGACACTGTCTTTCCTTCACACCTATGGGGTTTGACTGTCGATGATGCAGCTGGAGTGGTACAGAATAACACAAAACTGAGATGCACTAATACCTCAACAATGTACTAGAAATGTGTGAAGCTCTTGCCTACTAATAATTGTGCTGTGTTTGTTTTTTTGCACATTAACTCGGCTGCGCTGACCACTGCATGCAGATAACTGGGAGCAAAGTTACGGTAAGTGGCAATTTCTTAATCCTTCCTAATTCATTTACTCCCCTTGACTGCATAGCAAAGAGTCTTTCTTTATCCAGCAGAGTGAAAATCCTAAGGTTGGTTTCAATGCCCAGTTTTTATTTTCATTATCAATGCAGCTCATAACTAATGTTTTTAAAAGCTGTACAATAAAGTGCTGTGAGTGGTAACACTTAGGATTGAGTGATCTTTAAATGACACAGCTAAATGTGAGCTAGAAAACCTTTGTTAATTTAAGCTGTTTCTTTGTAAAACAGAAAATGTTATAACACAGGCATTGAAAGTGTTTATGTGAATGATCATAATCTGCAATCTGTAATCTGTTTTCTCTAAAATATTACATCTAAATGGCTTTGATTCTGTCCTTTGTTCTACACAGTGCATTAAAAATGTCACTTAATTGCATTTCACACACTGTACTGCCATTACAAAAAACAGTGAGTGTATTTTTTCATGGTTTTTTTTTCATAAAATGTAACTGTTTGATTTCATTTGTTGTTTAATCTTTAGCTTGACCTTATCTTGTAAAGGCCCTTGTCTGTTTATAACATTAAACCATTTGCAGTACCATCTTGGAAACATTCACTGCTGTTTCAATAGGGCATGGAACTTGGCAATCTTTATAGTTTTTATTGGTGCCTGTGATGATAATGGTTTTTCTGTGCCCTGTAATTCTCTAATTACGGATTTGTTTCAGTAGTTTCTCACAAAGTTGTGCCCTGTGACTTTTTCATTTCTTACTAAAGCTCTGTAAATGGGTTATTCTGTTTTTTTACATTGACTGAAAACAGATCTGTCATTTTTAGATTTTCCTTTACAGGATGTGCATGTTTCCTAAAAGATAACTGGAGGAGCAGGGTAGGATTATGGAGAGGGACAGGAAAGGCCTGTGGGTTTGTGGTTCTGCTTCGGTGAGAGGAGTCCGAACGAGTATGAGACCTGGAGACAAGAATAAACGGGGAAGGAATATTTACTGAAGTTGTATCAGGTGCATCACTGAAAGCTGCTAAGGAAATCAAATGGATTAAAAAAATTAGGTGAATGTGTCTTTACCTATATATAATATATATAGTATATCTGCACTGCCTTCCAGATTTGTACATAAACCAGATGAAACGGAAACAAAAAACATCTTAACACAGATAATTTACATATTTGATAGTGTCTTGCTTAAAGTAAATCTAAAAATGTTATAGTGCAATTCTAATAGCATTGTGCTGATCAAAGTCTATATTCTTACCAATTTCTATAGTTGTATCCGGCAACATGTGTCTGGTAATTCAAAGCTGAGAGCAGATACAAAGTGTAACTTGCGTGTAATGCGTGTCTGTGATGAGACTGAATGACCACTTGTCCGTCTTGCTGGGACAGTACGTGGAGCTGTGGAAGCCGGGTCAGTTCTTAGATATGTCCATTCTGGAGGCCCTGCCTGCTGCTGCTGCTGCTCTCTGTACCTGTTTATGGTGATCGATAGAAAAAGCGTTTATTCTGCCATTTTTCTTTTAAGACTGATTCCCTGCAATTTTCTGAATTTCAGTCTGTACAAGGTCAGGATTTTTTTTTTTGTTTTCATTTGAGCAGCTCAGTTAGCATCAGCCAGAAGTGATGAATGAGTGAAAATGTGTATAGAAGCCCAAGTATTTTACAGGAGGTTGTTCAAACACATGGCTTGATAAAACAGTCATGTGCACAATTATATAAAAAGCAGTAGATACCTTAAACATACTTTTTGCAAAGGGACAATTAACCAGAACAACCATTTTCCAGTGTGTAGGCACTTTAAAATTGTTTTGTAAATATAAATGCCTTACAGTATGTAAAATATTGGCTTTCTGTCTTGGGAGAATTTTGTACTACTTTTTGATTTTGATCACAAAGTAAAGCCTTGCTGACGTCAATTGCTGTAAGCCACATGTAATCTTGTGTTTTCATTCGTCCTAAATTTTACTCGCTCTCGTTGTGAAAAGACAAGCGGGGGAGAAAAGAGTAGACGCACGACCTCTGTGCTTTAATTTGTGCTCAGATTCCTTTCACATGCCCCGATACAGACCCGATACACAGGGATGGGAGAAATAAGGCCGTTTTGATATTAAACGTACCAGACTGCTGGAGCTGACGCGCCGAGTGGCTGACCTGACTGCTCGGCCAGTGAGGTGCTTGTTTTCAGGCCGTGGCGAGAGAGCCTTTTCCCCACTGCGGGGCAGCGCGAGTAACATTTACTTCTCCTTCTGCAGCATGAAATCCGTTTGGCATCTTATCCAGGTACTGTAGCAAGGAAGTACCTGTCTGAATTGTCTGTAATTGCGGCAGGCCGCTGTGTCCGTGCTCTGAATCGCGGTACGGGGGGGGGTCAGGGAGGCCTCTGGCTGGAGAAGCTTGAATAAGCTCCTAGCACTGCTTCCTGTAGGGCCTCGGCTGCCCTTGCCCCCTTCGCTGGGTGCATGACTGGAGGCAGGGCTGTAAATGTTAAAGAAAATCACAGTGGTAATGAAAAAAGAATGATAAGGCCCGTAATTCGTTTCCTCTTACTGACGGAGCTCATAATACAGCCTGCACCGCTGGCAGGGGCTGTCTTAAATGCAGGAGCCATGGTGATACCAGTCTATTTGGTCTCAAAGATGATTTGTTCGCTACCTGAGAGGGCACAGTGTCACTTGACATAACCTGCCCGGCCCCAACGAGCAGGAGAAGATTGCCATCGACAAGCCCTCGGCAGCACAGGCTGACACAGGCTGTTGCCACGGAAACCCGCTTGCGAGAGGCTGAGCCTACTGGAAAAGAAATTTCATCCAAGTCTCCAGACTTTGAGGATTGAAGCTGTGCTGTTAATAACTAGACAGGAGGCTCGCCTGATTATAGGGAAGGATTTTTTGGCTAGGAAGGTAATGGACAGAGCCCGTTATTTTTTATTTTTAGAGATCTGACCTTTTCACTTACATCCAGTTCTGGTTTCCATTTCCGGGAGACGACCTCTTTGTTTTTGAGGCAAAGGAGGGGTATTTCTGGAAAATTTAGAGAACACTTAAGGAATTGAAATACTTAGTCCTGAACCATTAATGAAAAGAGTCAGTCTGTAACGCAGCAGATGTATTGTTACTCCAATATAGTTATAGTTCTTTGTAAAGGGACCCCTTGGAGAACTCTCACTCTCCTTTCTCAGCAGAAAGTAATTCTTTAAAAAGGGGGTTAGCATAATGGAGGTACAGTAACCATTGTGGAATAGCAGGAAGGGATGAGTTTTCAGGTTTCATTGCATGATCAAATAAAAAAATATGTTTTTAATTGTATATAAATAAATAGGGTGACCTGAACTTGGGAACAAAGTAAAACTTTTTCTGTGATTTGAGTGATTTGAGGGGTGGGGTCTTGTTAACTGCTACTCTAATGAGGCAGACTCCTGCTGCAGCACTGAATTTAACAGATCCTGCAATCCCTGCCGGCACTCTCCGAAGTTGCGTTTGTTGCATTTAGGTAAATAAAGCACAATTTCTACCAGTACTGGATCTGTGTTCACATGAAACTCGATGCCCATACTACTTTATAGCCTTCACAATTGTGTTATTATTCCCCTCAGTAGTAGAAATTGTGTCTTAGCTGTTTTTGTTTAAGGCTCAGTGTCATCTGACGCACTCTGGCACAGTCCACGTACTCTGTCCTTGTTCCAGCCTTATCAGCGCTGAAGATTTTGAAGAGTGCTTATTGGCATTTGCTCCCTATCTCTCTGGATGAAATGCAAGCTGCTGAAGGCCAGCTGTTTTGAATAGAGAAACATAATTAAACCAAGACCTTCATTAAAACCCCTGTTCCAAGCCTTCAGTCTGAAAATATATTCTTTTATGTAGAATTGTCCATTAAAGGTGGCTGTGTGGAGAGAGTTTTGTAGATGTACTGTAAGGTGGCACATAACCTTACCCACTTTTAAAGTGCCATTGAAACTGTATCAATAAAGGGGTATTATTGCACATAGGTGAAAATGTGAAATGTTACAGTTTAATGGTCTTTCAATGAGAATTAAATGGATTTTTAAAAATAAAAAAAATGTATTTTTGCACCAAACGTGTTTAAAATATTTTGGGAGGTAGGGGATTCAGGTCAAGGACGTGAATTGAGCCTGAATATTGAGGAGTCTTGCTTTTAGAGCTAGTTATTCCATATTTCTTGTCCGAAACATTTATTTTGGAGAAAAACATGTAGTTGTTGAAATGGTTTGAATTAAAGTATACACCTTTACCTCTGTTCTTTACAATTCATCTATTTCTATACACATATCCATCAAGCCCCTATAAGCCGGCTATTAGTGTTTTGGGTTCTGCTGCTGTATTTTTGATGTTCTCATCCCCCTTGTCTCTGTATGTATGGTCTGCTGTTTGAAAGAAAGGCCTGTTGAAGATGCATGTCTATCAGTGTATCGGGGCTATGTATAAGTGAGGTTAATATGCCTTTCAGGTATTTGTTCCAAATTAAGAAGGCACTGGGCTCTGTGCAGACTCTAATGTGATTTATTATAATTCAGGCTTTGGGGAAACAGCGCAGAATGCACAAAAGCAGCTGTTGCAGCTCATTCACGGTGATGCCCATCGCAGCAGAATATATTCCTGAATACAAGTTCTCATTCCCACAGACACAGGCCTCACAAAGGGAGAGGAAGAGGGAGATAGGAGGCTGTTTGACCCAATGAGGCCTCCTTTTTCCTTCAGGGTTGTGGACTTACTGAGGAATCTCAAGGTGCGGGTGATGAGCAGTCAGACTTTCTGAAACTAATAAGGACAAACACCAAGACAGAGAAGGGTTTGTCATATTCCCAGTCTCATTATTTCAAACAGCAAATAAATCTCCGATGGGGAAAAAAGCACACTGTAATCTGTCCCAATTAAGAATAGTTGTCTGAAGTAGGCTAGAAATGATATGGGTATACATTACTTTTTGTTTAAAAACTCAGATCCCAGCTTCATTGTAAATACTGATAAAGCAACATTTAAACT